CTTTTATTTATTATTATTATTCTTCAACCAATTTTTATAGTTATTAATATTCATAAATATATTTTAATTTTTCATCCTTTACTACTTTTAAAGCTTAATCCAAATGATAAGTTTATTATAAACTTTATTATAATTCTTCTGTTTTTGCAATAAATTATTATTTTCCAGATTAAATTTCTTAATCCTTAATATCTATCACTTAATTTATTTATTCTAATTCATTCAATACCTTATTCAAATTTTATGTAAGTTCCTATAATAATAATCTAAAATAATATTATACTTATTTTTATAGAGTTAATTTTTAAACCTAAAAGGCATATTCTTCTGCTTCTATACTTTTTTATTTTAATCTTTCACAAATATTATCAAACTCTTAGTTGATCTAATATATTAAATGAAAATATTACAATTTAATTTGAATGTTCCATCTCAGTTAATTAATTTTATAAATCACGATTATGTTCTTTAAGAACTTCCATTTCTTAAGATGCTGTTCCCAAAACATCTGTTAACTTTTCTACTTCATTTGTGAGAATGTTAACTCTACTATAACACATATTATGTATATCTGTTGAAAATGTTTCATCCATTCTAGAAACTTTGGTTTATGGAGTTTAGCTTAATTTCATTAGGATATATATGTATATAAATTATATTTATTTATTTCTTTTTAATTAATTAATTTTTTTTCATACTCCTTCTTTTAACGAATCAGATAGCTTTTGTAATTCTTCAATTTTTATTTCTATATGTTTAATCTCTTAATTCAATAATACTATACCACCTATTGCCTATTAAATTATACCAAAATTTACTGCAAATATAAATAGTGATGAAAACACCATAGATTTTAGATAAAGATTATTAAATGATTTTGGTACTCCAATCAAACCTTTATTATTATTATACCAAATTAAATGTGATAAAATACCAACAAAATAAAACCCAAATAAATATGGTGATAAGTAGTACATTAATACACTATTTCCTAAAAGACATATTAATTAGCTTGAACTATATAATCCCAAGTATTTAAAAGGTTTACCAGATACAAAATGACATCCTGCAATTGCACCAACTATTCCAGCAAATCCAAATATATATATATCATTCAATTAACAAAAGGCATTTGTGAGTTGATGAGAAAAATAAGGGCTTTACATTTATGTAAAATCATAAAAGATTAATGGACCTATTAAATAATAGCTTCACAAATAATTGTAACATTTAATACAAATTCTTTTATAGTCCTATTGGAAATCTATAAAAAGGCATTCTCCTTAATGAATAATCAGATTCTTTTTCCTCTGTTGTTGATTCTTCTATTTTCACTTAATTAATAACTTAAGGAGTCCTTCTTGTTTTTTGGATATTCTTTTCAAATTGACTGCAAAATTATTAGACTATTTTTTTTAATAACATTATATTATATTATTATATATTAGAATAATAAATATTGTATATCACAATTATTTACATATAAAATTTTATTGTGTTTAATTTTTATACATTTCTTAAGATAATAATAATAAATTTAATGTTTCAACGTAAATCAGAAGTGGGAGAAGAGTAAGGAGAAACAGTCATTGCACTTTACTCTTAATAAACTAATATGAGTTACATTCCTCCTGTTTATTTAAAAAATGGTCCAAATTAAAATAGATCTTGTACTAATCTATGTTGCTGTTTATTATTTTTATTGTCTATTGGAGCTTTAGGATATTTCTATTTCTTGACTTACAGTAGTCAACATATAGAAAGACTCTACACTCCTGTAGATTCTGAAGGAAGAGAATGTGGATAAGGAAATTTGAATAAGTTTCCGTTGATTTATTTCGTAACTCCAGAAGAGGTGAGGTTCTTAATATATGGCTTTAGAAATATCTATATAGAACAGTTTGTGTTGAAAAATGTCCTAAAAAAGAAGATTAACAATTATTATGTGCTCCAAATAAATTAATCAAAGACTGTCACAATAATCCAAGTCCATCAGACCCAGAAAAACGAGTATTAATTTATGAATCTCATTCATATTCAGGTAATATCTGTTTACCAACTGATGATAATTTAAAAAATGCAGTTTAACCAGCAATTTTAGTAGGGGAAATTTAATAAGCTTTAGTGAATACAAAAGCAAATTTACCTATTATAGCCATTAGTGGAGGAGCTGCCTTTTTATTGGCATTCTTTTTCACAATAATGATTGGATTGTGTACTACATTCATAGTTTATGTATTCATATTAGTATATATCTCTTTAACTGGTTTCCTTAGTGCATATTTTCTATTATATTTCATAAAATTACCTTTAGAGTATATATTCTTTTATTATTAATTAGTTTATTTCCTTATTTTGATAAATTAACATATGCATGGAGTCCATATATGTTAGGAGCCTCAATAACATTTGGATTATTATGCATATATGCTATATTTACATTATGTTGGAACTTAAGGAAAATGAAATTTATGATATCTCTTGTTAAATTGGCAACAACATTCTTGTATTAAAATAAAACAATTATTATTGTGCCTATAGTATTCTTTTTCTTAATAATGTCAACTTTATTGATATGGATTGCAAGTGCTTTAGCAGTACTTTCAGAATAATAAATGGAATATTCATCAGATGAATAAATTTACCCATTTGAAAAGATTTAACTTAAATTTGATACTTTAATTAAATTGATGATTACTGTACTAGCTTTAATATGGTTAATGCAATACATCTTATCATTGGCTAGATTTCTTAATGCTTCAACTGCCACACTTTGGTACTTTCATGCTTCTTCTAATAAGGGATTTGTATATGATAGTTTCAAATTAGCTGTGCGATACCATAATGGAAGTATCACAGCTGAAGCAATATATAGTTTCTTTTTTAGTGGTATAGCAAAAATATTTAATTTGATATATGTAAAATTATCATTTATATGATAGGATTCCCTCAATCGATGTAGAATGAAGAGACACAATTTAATATTGAATTGTTTTGCATCATTTTCTTTATGTTTATGTTGTCTTTGTGAGAATTTCATTATGTACATTAATAATTATGCTTTTGTATATATTGTAATGACATCAGCAGATTACTTTGAATCAAGTAAAGCTGTACATTTTACAATTAAAAGAAATTATTCAGATTTTGAAACTCTTTCAGGATTGGGAGAATAATTTACTCATTATAGCAAAATGTTTATATTTCTAGTAACAACTCTTGGAACATTTATTTATGTAAAAGAATAGACTGATTTTACACTTTAATTGTATACATTTGCAATTATTGCATTTATAACATTGTCAATAGCCACTCTATTTATGGATATGTTTGGATAAAGTGCAGATGCCTTAGTACTTACATACTTTACTGATTGTGAAGTGTAAAAGTATCATTTTGGACTTGAAGAATGTGGTTCTTGTCCTTAAGAAATAAGAGATTAAGTTTAACACATAAGGGAAAAATAAAAGATTTACTATGGTTGAATAGATATTATTTAGAATCTAATTTAATTAATATATTATTATTATTAATAGAATCCATTCAAATATATATAAAATACAATAATATACAAAATAAATTAATAACTTATTTTTCACTAAAGATACGTTCTATAGTAAAATTTGGTGGCTATTCTGGAATAGGGTTATTGGAAACTAATTCAATTTCTAAACTACTTTCTTCATCTTCAAAAGTTGGATAATCTATGATATATAGAATCAATTATTTTTAATACCATCTGAAAAACTACTATCATTATCAAAGTTATCAAATAGTTCTCCACTATAAGAATTAGATATAGATAAGGAGACTCCAATATATTATTCAGAGTCTTCATCTTAAAATCTATTTTTGATAACTTTTGATCTTCTTTTTTGTACAGCTTTCCTAGCTTCTAATCTTTCTTTTTATGTTTTGTATTAGAATTAAATGAATCCTTCAAGTTTAGAAATATCCAATTAAGTTTTTTATTTAATACATCTATTATTCTTTATTTAACATTAGTATTTTAGATTGAACATATTTAAGTCTAAACAATCTGTGGTACTTCTAAATTAACAATCAGAACTTAATTAATAAGTATATGAAATTAAGATTAGGATTAGCATGATTATAATATTATTTAATAATTTATTATAACAATTGAATTAGGATTTAATGATCTATTATTTAATTATTCTAATTCATCCATTTCATTATCAATATCAATTCTTTAATTACTTAAAGTTTCTAATTGTAATATTCTATTATTACTAATTTTAACATGTTCAGGTAATATATTATAATCTAAATATTTTTAAATGAGATCATCCAAAATATTTCCCATATGATCAAATGATATTTCTGTATATTTCTCTTATAAATTATATTGTCTAATAGTTTATAAGATTGTATATTATAATGCATCAATTTGTAATTTAAATAATTTAGCTTTACAAATTGGACATCTCCATTTTCTTGGATTTGATAATTCAAGCATCATTAAATAATTTTCTAGAGAGAAACATTAAATATGATTACAATAAATTCCCCTTACAGGAGTAACCATTAAAGAAGAACATAAACAACACAATAAAGAAATAGTTTATTTAATTTATTTGATACCAGTAGATGATATGTAATTCATCTAAAGTATAATAAAATCCTATGCTTATTCTACACTCATCCAATTTTCACTAGATAATATAATCTTTTCTATAAGTTATTTTGCATTATATTATTTAGTTTTGTAGACAGCAATATAATGTAATTATTCACCTTAAATTCTATATTTTCTTTTTTATTCCATACCAGGTATAATTTCTTTAATCATTAGAGTACATTCTTCATTTTATGGAATAGTAAATATCAATTTTTCATCTTTACGTTTATGTTAACAACTCTATTAAGCTAATGGAATAAATTCAGCCACTTTTTTATTATTAATATGTAATTCTCCTAAATCTGGCCATGTAATTTCTTCTGCTGATAATGGACAATCCATTCTAATACATCTGATATCAATTTTATTAGTATCTGATTTAAATTTAANAAATACAATAATATACAAAATAAATTAATAACTTATTTTTCACTAAAGATACGTTCTATAGTAAAATTTGGTGGCTATTCTGGAATAGGGTTATTGGAAACTAATTCAATTTCTAAACTACTTTCTTCATCTTCAAAAGTTGGATAATCTATGATATATAGAATCAATTATTTTTAATACCATCTGAAAAACTACTATCATTATCAAAGTTATCAAATAGTTCTCCACTATAAGAATTAGATATAGATAAGGAGACTCCAATATATTATTCAGAGTCTTCATCTTAAAATCTATTTTTGATAACTTTTGATCTTCTTTTTTGTACAGCTTTCCTAGCTTCTAATCTTTCTTTTTATGTTTTGTATTAGAATTAAATGAATCCTTCAAGTTTAGAAATATCCAATTAAGTTTTTTATTTAATACATCTATTATTCTTTATTTAACATTAGTATTTTAGATTGAACATATTTAAGTCTAAACAATCTGTGGTACTTCTAAATTAACAATCAGAACTTAATTAATAAGTATATGAAATTAAGATTAGGATTAGCATGATTATAATATTATTTAATAATTTATTATAACAATTGAATTAGGATTTAATGATCTATTATTTAATTATTCTAATTCATCCATTTCATTATCAATATCAATTCTTTAATTACTTAAAGTTTCTAATTGTAATATTCTATTATTACTAATTTTAACATGTTCAGGTAATATATTATAATCTAAATATTTTTAAATGAGATCATCCAAAATATTTCCCATATGATCAAATGATATTTCTGTATATTTCTCTTATAAATTATATTGTCTAATAGTTTATAAGATTGTATATTATAATGCATCAATTTGTAATTTAAATAATTTAGCTTTACAAATTGGACATCTCCATTTTCTTGGATTTGATAATTCAAGCATCATTAAATAATTTTCTAGAGAGAAACATTAAATATGATTACAATAAATTCCCCTTACAGGAGTAACCATTAAAGAAGAACATAAACAACACAATAAAGAAATAGTTTATTTAATTTATTTGATACCAGTAGATGATATGTAATTCATCTAAAGTATAATAAAATCCTATGCTTATTCTACACTCATCCAATTTTCACTAGATAATATAATCTTTTCTATAAGTTATTTTGCATTATATTATTTAGTTTTGTAGACAGCAATATAATGTAATTATTCACCTTAAATTCTATATTTTCTTTTTTATTCCATACCAGGTATAATTTCTTTAATCATTAGAGTACATTCTTCATTTTATGGAATAGTAAATATCAATTTTTCATCTTTACGTTTATGTTAACAACTCTATTAAGCTAATGGAATAAATTCAGCCACTTTTTTATTATTAATATGTAATTCTCCTAAATCTGGCCATGTAATTTCTTCTGCTGATAATGGACAATCCATTCTAATACATCTGATATCAATTTTATTAGTATCTGATTTAAATTTAATAGTTTTTGTACTAGTTAAACCTGTTTTCTTAAATGAAAATGGTTCTACAATAATAGAAATAACTTCACAAAATTAATCCATATGATATAAAGTACATCTTGGACATGTAAAATTTTTAACATATCTTTCATCATAACTTTTATCTAAACAATTTACATGAAAATGTTTTTCACATAAATGACATTTCATTATTTACTTATAATGTAATTGATTTCCACAAAAACATTAATCACAATTAGGTGTTTAGACTTATCTCTAATATTTCCTTTTTATTGTATTACATATTTCTTCTATATTTTATTTTTCAATTTCCATTCCTTTTTATTATTCTAATTCTATAGAAGCATTTTATATTTAAGTACTCTCTTAACTTACTTATAATTCTTCTAATTCTTTCATCATTTTTAATTCTTTTTCTAACAATACCATTTCTTATAATTTCACTGTTTGTTATTCAAAATATAGATGTATTTATTAATTAATATTCTAAATTGGTTCATCTAATTATGGTTATTGTCTTGCTATATGTGGATCTAATCTAAGAAGACTTTAAAAATATAATTCTTAAACTGAATTTGGTTTTAGATCTTTAAATAATTTCTCAAAATAAAGTATTTATCCTATATCCTTTGTCACTCTATTAATTATTGTTGGAAGTGCTTATTTTAGCTGTTTTTTAAATGCTTCTAAGTCTTTTTACAATTACTATTATTTCATTATTTTCATTAAAATAATTGGTCAAACAAATTAAATAAATTTTATTAGTCTAAATGTATGGAAATATTTGACAAATTATTTAAATATGTATAGATTCTTTAATTAATCACTGTGTACACATATTTTTATATAATTACATCCCATTTATGTATTAAATTTATAAATTCTTGATGTTACTTTAAATATCCACTTCAAATTATATTAAAATTAACAATGATCCTTATTATCTAAATATTCATTCAATTTTAAATATTCATATCTAATAAAATCATAATTCAATTATTTAAATTGGAATTATATCAACTATAAATCATTAAATTACCTTTGATGAAAATTGTAAAAATATGAATAAACATCTATAATATTTTTATATAGTCTATTTAATTTATGTTACATCTCTCTTCATATTTATTTAACTAATATGATTTAAGTTATGTATGTGTTAGATGGATGTCTATGGCTTCATTCATTTTGATATTAATTTAATTAAAATTCTAACGATATATTATGTGTGAAGAGCTTGTGAGATTACAAACAATCGAGTTCAAGTAGGAAATAGAGAAACGATTTGCAAAGAGTCGTCATAACCATAATTATGTATTTGAACGAGAAGGCAATGATTTTTCAGATGATGATTCATTAGATTCTTTGAAAAACATTGAATTATACAATTTATGCAAACCCATCCGTAATAAATCAATGGAAACAGAACGTACTATGCCTAAGACCAGCAAAACATTATTAATACGATTACTAAAACCTAAAAAATAACCATCAGTCAATGAAAATAGATCCAACAACACTTCATTATATAAATCTAGATCATAAAGCAAAAATGGCACTACTAGACTTCGTACTGAGTATTATGTTTTATTTTTAATCAGAGGTTCAGTCCTTCGAGAATCAAAAAATGTAACCTTAATTTCTCCAAAGATTCCAAAAAGTCCTTTGTATATTTAAGTAGATAATTTGATCAAATCCACTAAGAATTAACATCTTTACAAACTTAATAATTACTCTATGGCTGTATGATTTATAAATTAATAATTAATGTCATAAAAAATTAAGCAGCCTACTCTCCTTTCAAAAGTACATCCAAAAGTATTATTCAATACTTAAGAGTAAATTAAATCATAGATTTCTTAGACTCAATGCTCGTGTAGTTAAAGTTTAAAGTCCTTTTGAATATATGAATTACATTAAGCGTAGATAAGAGTATCTAAACAAGTAGAAGTAGCTTCTAAATAATCTTCAATTGAATGAAGAAAATTATGAAAAATTGACATTTTCTGTAAAACAAATTGGAGTGATTAATGATGATGGAAGATTTGGAACATATAGTCAGCGTAGATATTTATTAAAATCTATGGAATCCACAAGATAATAAAAATCTGAATCAATATAATATCCTTAANTGTACACATATTTTTATATAATTACATCCCATTTATGTATTAAATTTATAAATTCTTGATGTTACTTTAAATATCCACTTCAAATTATATTAAAATTAACAATGATCCTTATTATCTAAATATTCATTCAATTTTAAATATTCATATCTAATAAAATCATAATTCAATTATTTAAATTGGAATTATATCAACTATAAATCATTAAATTACCTTTGATGAAAATTGTAAAAATATGAATAAACATCTATAATATTTTTATATAGTCTATTTAATTTATGTTACATCTCTCTTCATATTTATTTAACTAATATGATTTAAGTTATGTATGTGTTAGATGGATGTCTATGGCTTCATTCATTTTGATATTAATTTAATTAAAATTCTAACGATATATTATGTGTGAAGAGCTTGTGAGATTACAAACAATCGAGTTCAAGTAGGAAATAGAGAAACGATTTGCAAAGAGTCGTCATAACCATAATTATGTATTTGAACGAGAAGGCAATGATTTTTCAGATGATGATTCATTAGATTCTTTGAAAAACATTGAATTATACAATTTATGCAAACCCATCCGTAATAAATCAATGGAAACAGAACGTACTATGCCTAAGACCAGCAAAACATTATTAATACGATTACTAAAACCTAAAAAATAACCATCAGTCAATGAAAATAGATCCAACAACACTTCATTATATAAATCTAGATCATAAAGCAAAAATGGCACTACTAGACTTCGTACTGAGTATTATGTTTTATTTTTAATCAGAGGTTCAGTCCTTCGAGAATCAAAAAATGTAACCTTAATTTCTCCAAAGATTCCAAAAAGTCCTTTGTATATTTAAGTAGATAATTTGATCAAATCCACTAAGAATTAACATCTTTACAAACTTAATAATTACTCTATGGCTGTATGATTTATAAATTAATAATTAATGTCATAAAAAATTAAGCAGCCTACTCTCCTTTCAAAAGTACATCCAAAAGTATTATTCAATACTTAAGAGTAAATTAAATCATAGATTTCTTAGACTCAATGCTCGTGTAGTTAAAGTTTAAAGTCCTTTTGAATATATGAATTACATTAAGCGTAGATAAGAGTATCTAAACAAGTAGAAGTAGCTTCTAAATAATCTTCAATTGAATGAAGAAAATTATGAAAAATTGACATTTTCTGTAAAACAAATTGGAGTGATTAATGATGATGGAAGATTTGGAACATATAGTCAGCGTAGATATTTATTAAAATCTATGGAATCCACAAGATAATAAAAATCTGAATCAATATAATATCCTTAAACAGAAAGAGCATAATATTAATTTAGAGCTAAAGCTTTACCAAGCAGTCGTAAAGAGAAATTTAGATTTTCTCCATAATAAAGTGTTAAGTTCTTCCTTTTGCCAGAAAGATAAGAAACTAATATTGAAGTTAAAAATAGCCCAGTCGATAAAATACTTAAAAGATCAAGACAAAAGAAACGAATTCCATAAAGTCAACCTATACCTCCTGAAATCATTTTTGCTAAAAGTTAGCCGAATCCTAAATATTCCTCATATAGTAGATAACTTTAAGAACTTACAACAACAGTGGAATTTAATAAACTACTTTGATTTTATTTAAAAATAATTACTTAATCTCATTATTTTAGTTTCATAACATTCTATTTTTAAAATATGTCAATTAACTTTCTAATTTTTTTATTTATTCATTTATTAGATTATATCTATATTAATTATTCTTATATTTATATTATGATAATATTAAATGAGTATCATTTATATACATTTAATTTTTATGAATAGATAATAAAAATAATATTATTTTATAACTTTTTATTTGAAAAATGTAACTAGTTAATAAAATTAATAATCATTTTAATTATAAAGAAGCATTATCTTCAGTCTATGTTATAGAATGTCGAGGAGTTAAATGTTAAATTTGTATTGCATAAGTAGCTTAGGGAACTTACAATTTGTTTTAATTATTTTATTGACATAATTACAATACTTTATATTTAAGTTTCCCAACTGTAACTTGTTCATCAGATATAGTCTTCTTTATTTCACTATCTATTTCATCACTAACCTTAATTATAATATTTTCTTTCAGGGATGTAGTTGTAATATGAGAATAACTTTCAATATAAATAACTTCTCCTACTTAAAACTAATTATAAATAATGAATATTAATACTTCTTAATTTTATTTAATTTTTTCAATCACTACATATATGGAAATAAATTCTTAACAATGAAATCCTATAATAGATTCAAGAAATTCATTATATTCAACAGGTTTACTTTTATATAATAATTTATGATCAGAATAAAATGAGCATTAATAAGTTGGTGGATTTTTTCCAATAAAAGAAGAAGTGTGTTTAACACCAAATAAATCCATTTTTTGTATTATAAATATTATGAATTTGGATTGTTTATTAATTGATTATAGAAAGTTGAGATTACAATATCTGCTTTTATTAAATTTATTATTTGTCAATTTTTTTAGAATGGTAAAGGTCTTTTAATCTTATTACTCAATCAAACGTGTAGTATGATATTTTTACATTAAAACTACTTCACTTAAATATTTTCTATTATCTTTTTCTTATTTTTTACTATCATTGACTTAAGGTTAACTATTAATTTTAATTAGTTTATAAGTATTTTATTCATTCATATTTTTTGGATCAAAATTTATTTTAGGTTATTCTTTTTTAAATAATACATGCTATGATGGTGTTTTTGATTGTTAAACAATTTAAAGTAGAAGATGCTGATTAGCCTTTTGTTATTCTAAAAAGGCTTGTTAGTTATAGAATTTAGAAACAGTTTTAATTGTAGCCTATTTATCTTTAGGTTTATGATGTATGTTCTATTATTTAGAATTCTAATGTTAAATATTATTGAAAATTACTTATTGATGAAATTTTTGAAAATCATAAAGAGGTTATTTGACTTTTTCATAATTTATGTCCTTCACAATATAATTATTCTGTTTCATAATTAATTTAAATAGTTTATTATTAATATTGTATAGATACATACATACACCTACTCATTATTTGAAATTTTGGATTTCTTCAGAATTAACAACATTGTATACAAGAATCTTTTGAAGGATTCAATTCCTTTTCAGAAATACTTTTTTTTTTTATTTCATCAGATGATAACTCTAGAATAAATAGTAATATTACTCAATTATTTCTGAATACTTAATTCTGAAGATGTTTTAATAGAATTTTATAGTTTAGCTTCATATTTACTAATTAGATTGATGTATTGATCAAATATCCTTGTAAATCTTTCAATACAAGACCAATACTCTATAATCCATGAGCATATTGGTGATGTTTCCTTATTGATTTAATTCTTATGCATTTCTATCAATCGATCGAGCTAGATCTCAGAGTCAGTGACAAAAGTTGGAGTTTGAAAAACTGGCTCACTGTCAATCAATTTGGTTAATGTGTCCAACTCTTTAATTGATACAGCATTAAGATGTTAAACAGTGGCACTTGTTATTATATGCTTGGATACAGTAGAGGGTCGATATTGGAACTAAGTTATTATTTGAGGAGACTCTTCTTTCCTGACCCAACTTAACGAATGACAATAGCATCAGTAGGTTGATACTCAATCTGTAATAGAAGCTCTCTCCAAATTTCATGGTACTTCTCGTATGAAACCTTGAGTGCATGAAATTCTGAGGTTGTATGCTAAATCACTCTTACCAACTTTTTTACTTGTAATTGCTATTCCAGAATAAGAAGTTCTGATGAGTCATTCATTTTAGACTAACTATATTACTACAAGAGCTGATTCAACTTGAGTACACTTTCCTAGAGCATATATAATAAATATATATTTTAATGTAATTGCCCACTCGTATCATTGATGGTCTTTATCTTGGAGATTAGGGTGCAGCCCATGTAAATGTGATCTAAAACATGAGGATCTTGAATTCTTGATGATTAACAAGATAACCAAGATAATTAATTGTGCTGCCAAAAATATTCCTAATCATTGGGAATCCATTGGCATAGAATATTTGTCTTATTAGTGGTTAGAAAGTGAAACACAATTTGCATTTGATTATTTCCGATGTTTCACCTTTATAAATGATACAATTGAAGCAGGAGAAGCTGTTTTAGTCCATTCTATTAGAGCATTGAATCGCTCAGTTTTTGTGGTTGTTTTATTTTTAATGCGCAAGTATACACTCTAAATCATACTCCTAGATTTAAATGGACATTATAAAAGACTTTACAATACATACATAATCTCAAAAATGATTTTGAAATTAAATCTAATGTATTTCAATAGCTACTCAATTATGAAAAATGGCTACAAGTATCCAAACTCAGTAATAATTGGGATTTTGCACATAATGATGATGAAACATTAGCAAGAAACACATATCTTAATAGTTAGAGGAATTATTCTAATGAACCTAAGAGAAAAAAAGATATTAATCTTAAAAAAGTTTAATGGAATAAAAGTTTAGTTTCTTAATTTATTCCACCTTATTAATAGATGTATTTATTTTGAACTATTTTATGTTAGTGAATTCAAGAAGTTCAGTACACCATAGCCTAAAATGTAATATTCATAAATGCCTATCAAACTTAAGATTCAACCTTCTGATAATAATTGGATCAATAAGAAATTCACTTTGAATTAAATTGTTGATGAATAATTATAAAGAAAATTGAATCTATTTAGTATTAAATCAGATCGTCAACCAATTAAACCACTTTCAAGACCAGGTACAGCACCTTCAAAAAGATTACTAAAAGGCAAAGTCATTACATCATCTCATAGACTATTAGTTAAATAATCATGATTTATATACACATATATATAATTTATCTTTTTTATTCCACAATAACTTATAAATATTTTAAATAATGACTAATATTTTAATACTCATCATACTCATAAAGATGGGAAATCTTTGTCATCCAATTGAATTCCTTATTCCTAAAATAATTAATAAATGATAATACTTATTATCTTTATTGAGGTCTCTTTTCTTATCTATCATCTCCCTTTCTTTATTTATCTCCTCCTCTTTAATTTCTGGTATTGTTATCTCTATTTGATCTATCATGTTATGGTCTATCTTATCTATCTCCTTTATATCCTTTATTTTATCTAGGACCTCTATCTTATCTATCTCCTCTATCTTATCTATCTCCTCTATCTTATCTATCTCCTCTTTCTTATCTATCTCCTCTATCTTATCTATCTCCTCTTTCCTTTCTTTCTCCTTTTTCCTCCTAAACTTAAGTTTCACCTTATTATTATTATTATTCTTAAACTGGTTCTTATTTATCATATTATCTTCTTTCTCCTCTTCTTTCATTCTTTCTTTCAGGTTCTTATACTTAATTAGTGAAACCTAAATATTCAGCTGCTTAAGTATTTAGCTCACTTCTATAGGTTTATTATTATCTTGTTTTCTTTTGTTTTTATTCTTATAATTTTTTTTCATCTTCTCTTGTTTTCATGACAAAAAGTTTATCCTTTTTCAATGCTTCTTCATCAATTTACTTGACTACTTAAGATTTAGTCTCAGTCTTTTTGAGTACCTCTTCAACATTCTAAATTTAATTAATATTCTTACAGTTCCTCTTTCTTAATAATAATCAGCCAGAGTCTTTTCAGGAGCAGGAGGTTGAACTGGTTATGTTGTTTATTCATTTTATTCCTCTTTTGGTGCATCCTAAGTCTTTTTCTCTTTTGCAATATATTTTTCTTCTTTGAGGTCATCTTTGTAATTTCCCCAATTGTTTCTGCCACCACCTTCTTTTCGTTGTTCTTTGCCTCTTCCAGTGCCAGACTATCTATCTTTAGGATGTGGATCAGCTGGAACACCTTTTTGTTTAGGAGCGGGATTATCATGTTTAGTATTTTCTTTTTGTACTTACTCAACTGGGATAACCTATTCCTTATTGTTATTATTTTTCTTAGACTTTTTTTATTATTATTCTGGGACTTCTTCTGTATCAGAGAAGTTGAGAACGTTGAATAAATTATTGCTCATAAAGATTTGATTTATTATTTAATGTTTTCACCTTAATTACCAAGAATTAAATTAATTAACTATATAATATATTTTAATATTAAATTTTTGAAATATAAAAATTATTATTAATATTTAATGATGAACATCATAAAATTCAACATTAATTCTTTCTTTTCGAAATTTCTAAAAAATGTACATCTTTAAAAATGCCAAAAAATATACTCAAAACCAGTATCTACACATCTAATGAGTTAAATTGAAATAAAATTATAATTCTATATAAGTATTAAATAAAACAATGATGCAATCTTAATAGATAATGCTATCTAATTAGCTTGAGTAATCTAATTATAATTAAAGCAATTTAAAATAATATATTTTGTCTTTCCAGATAATAAATTTAATAATGGGTTGTTGTTAGCAGATATCAATAGTAGAAAAGGAATCCTAGATTTAAGGGATTGTTTCAATTAAAGAAGAATTTTCTCCTAAAGCTCTCTAGATGCAACCTTTCTCCCTAAATTTAATATAAGGAGATATGGATGGTATAGATCCTATAGAAAATATGGAAAGATTAGGGAGTACGTGTGTAGATAACATATTAAATGAGAAGTAGTGTAGCAAATTGGATAACTAACTTAGTGTCTAATCTAAAAATGAAGTTATTATTAATTTGCGACAAGCATCAAATCCACCCTTATTGGTTTTGGATAATAGTACCAAAAATCTCAACAAAAAATTTATAAGAATGCTATGATTTTACAAATAATAAACAATAACAAAGTATATGACTTTAATATAGATACATAAGAAAATAATTAATTCTTCATTCTTATATATTATAAAATAATTAATTGTCTAAGTCTTAGTATTATTAATTGTGTATTTAATGTCAATGTTCATATCATTCAATTTTAATTTATTATAATATTTTTATTTTAATATTTAGGTCATAAATGTAAGTATTTTACAAATAATATTGATATAAAGTTAAGGTAATCTATAAGAAAAATCATTAACAAAACTTGATTATGTAAAGAAATAAGGCTACTATTTTAATATAATTATAAAAATTAATTTATATTCTGGCATTTTTAAAACAACGTTTATATTATGTTGTTGACTTATTTAATTGATGAATTTAAAATACCATTGGGTACTAATAATTTAATTTCTATTACTATCCTTCGACTATTCTTAAATAAAATATTATACAGCATAAAATAAATAAAAGATACTATCAAATATATAATTGCAAAAAGAAATAAAGATTTGAAATTTATTAAATATTATAAGCTCTTCAACTTCAAAAAGATGGGTTGCTGTCAAAATCGACCCTTTATGTAGCATTAGCATAATGGGCATCATTAATCTTAATGTTATCCAAATAAAATGAAATTAGAGCCATTACTTATTGCTGTAATTGGAGACTCAGACAGAATGGATATGATGGATGATATATTCAGAATATAATAGACCTCTATCAAAGAAATATAATCTCCATATAATTTAAAATTGCCTTCAGAATCAGTCATAATAGATTTGAGATCTGGAACATCATTGGCAAGTCCACCAAGATAAAAATCAAGTAAGAACCTTAATTAGAAGTTTCTTGAAATGTTATGATTATACTAATAATATAAAATAATATGCTCAAATTAAATTAACAGAAACACATGACCACTAATCAATCCAAATTTAGTGAGCATTAATAACAAAAAAGTAAAGATTCCTATTCAAAAATACACACACCAATCAAACGAAAATTATCTGAATATGTAATTCAAAAATAAAGCTCATATGCATAAATACATAAACCTGAAAGATAAAAACAAAAATCAACTCCTGATATATTATAGTTACTGAAGAAATATTAAAAATGTCATACTAATCAATCATAACATCAACCATCTCAATAAAGGGATATTGTTAGCAATCATCAAATTAAAAAGCATAAAACACTCTATAATAATGATGCTTCACCCATTAGAATTAGTTAAGAAGCTTTACCTCTCAAGAACATTGTTATTAACAGAAAGAAAACGAGTATAAGTGATAGGGATACATCTCTACTTAGGTTGCAAGAATTAAAAAAGAAAATAATGGAAAAAGTTCCAAATCTTCTTGAAATTTTGGGACCTGAAATGAATCCTATTTCAAATAGAATTACATTTCAAGCATCACTATAAACTGAAGAGTCTAAAATAATTTAAAAAACAATTGATACTCCTGGAACTGCATAATTTATGTAATCAAATAGAGATGAAAATATATTAGAATCACGAAATCCATTTGAAAGAACAAACTTTTATTAAGATATGTAAATATAAGAAAATTAAATATCTCTATAAAAGAATCTTGACTTATTTTTTGAAAAAAGAAAACATTCATGTTAGGAAGATAATTTTAAGCCTATTCAAAATGTTTAATAATATTGTAAACCATATTTTGAATCAAATAAAGGGGAAGATATATAGAATACAAATTTTACAAATAGACTAGAAAGTAGAAAAATAATGATTATATTGGATTAGGATAAAGAAAAAATATTAGAATAGATTTCTCTTAATCCAATTGAAATTCATAATTCTCCAACTAGTAAAATATGGGATAAAGCATTAAAAATAGATAGATTAGATGAATAATTAGGTAAATAAAAAACAGAAGAATCTTTAGGAAATAAATGTTAAAAAGTAAGATCAAAAAGAGCAAGTGTAAAAAATGAAAATACTCCTTATTGGAAACTAAGAGATTTAGAATAAAAAAAGAAATAAAAATGATTTTGTTTTTATAAATTCTCATAAAACATAAACTTTTTAAATTTTTATTATAAAAAGATTAAAAATAATTGAGATCTTTATAAATATTATAAATTTGAATATCAAAATAAAACAAAAAGATATTCATTTAAATTTATAATTAGATTTTTTAAATTCTATTGTTGTTTAAATTGGATTAGCAATTTTATAATTGGAAGGAAAACAACTTGGGTTTCCTTCACCTCTTGGACTTTTCTTTGAATTAATAATAGGTGGTAACTTTATTTTATGTTTTTCAGAACTCTAAAATAAATATATATATTCACATCTCTACTACTATTGCTTGAATTTAAACAAGATCTTGTAGGTATTTTTATGAGATTTGGTTTTTTTGGACTCTTTTATTTCGAAAAAAAACGTTAATTTTAAGGTAAAACTATTGCTCTTATAGCTTTTTCACTATTTTATTTAATAAATTGTAGAAAAACAATTAATTTTTAAAACTAGAATATTAAAATTTTTATACTTTTGTGAATATAAATATTCCTCTATATGCTTAAAATATTTCTTTGCTTGTCATAATATATGTCTCTGATGACTAAGAAGTTATCCATGGATGTAATAATGCTTATTCAGCAGTTATTCTAGCTTCAGGTTCAAAAGCAACAGTTTTTTCAAAAAAAGAAATAGCAGCTCTTTCAAATTTAAAATTATACTTGGACATACCATTGAAATCTACTTTCTATGGTTTAGACATCAATTTAATATAATTTTCTTTTTTTTAATTTGTCCAAAATGGATGACATTTTTTAAGTAATTAATACTAAATGATGCCACAACTCCAAATATCAACAGATTTAAAGTATTCTTTTTTCATAAGGATTTCTGGAGCCATATATAATAGAGTTCCACAATTTTAATGAGTAGTTATTTATTAAGTAGTTATATAACTTAGTCCAAAGTCTATCAAAGTGAGGTTCAGGTTCTTATCAAGAATCATATTATCTACTTTCAAAAAGCGATCTTACCTGGTTTAATATCTCTATGAATAATTCG